ATAGAATAGAATAGGAATATTGGAATGAAGAATAGAATAGTGGAATGAAGAATAGAATAGAATAGAATAGGGAATAGAATAGAATAGAATAATAGAATAGAATAGAATAGAATAGAATAGAATAGAATAGAATAGAATAGAATGTATTTAGAGTAGAGCAGAGTAGAGTAGAATAGAAATAATAAGAATAGAAATAAGATAGGATAGCATAGGAATAGAGTGTATTTAGAATGGGATGGGATGGAATGGAGTGGAATGAAATGAAATAGGAATAGGAATAGGAATAGGAATAGGAATAGGAATAGGAATAGAATAGAATCTGGAAGGGACCTTTGAGGTCTTCTAGTCCAGTCCCCTGCTCAAGCAGGAGAACCTATACTATTTCAGATAAGTGACTGTTGGACTAGAAGACCTTCAAGGTCCCTTACAACTCTGTTATTTTATTAAAATATTTCACAATACATAATTCCATGGCTAACTAAACTATAACTTACTGAATACGTCCAGCTAGTCTTGTTAGAATAGCAGAGGGAACACACCACACAACATATACAGACTGTATTGTAATTTTTTATTTATTTATTTATTTATTAAATTTTTATACCGCCCCCTCTCCCGAAGGATTCGGGGCGGTGAACAGCCAAAATTAAAACACACAATACAAATATTAAAATGCAATTAAAAACAAAATTAAATTATCTTTGGCTTCTCCAATTTAAAACCCCTTACCCATAAAATACACCCAATTAAAATTTTTTAACCCAGTCCGGCTTGATGAAATAAAAAAGTCTTCAGGGCCCGGTGGAAGGTCCGGAGGTCCGGGATTAGTCGTATCCCTGGGGGTAGCTCATTCCAGAGGGCGGGTGCCCCCACAGAGAAGGCTCTTCCCCGGGGGGTCGCCAGCCGACATTGCCTGACAGACGGCACCCTGAGGAGACCCTCTCTGTGGGAGCGTGTTGGCCGGTGGGAGGTTATCGGAGGCAGAAGGTGGTCTCGTAAATAACCGGGTCCTAAGCCATGGAGCGCTTTGAAGATGAGAACCAGCACCTTGAAGTGCACTCGGAAGACCACTGGAAGCCAATGCAGCTCGCGCAGGAGAGGTGACACGTGGGAGCGCCATGTCGCCCACATAAGTACCCATGCGGCCGCATTCTGCACCAGTTGGAGCCTCCGAGTGCTCCTCAAGGGGAGCCCCATGTAGAGAGCGTTGCAGTAGTCGAGGCGGGAAGTAACGAGGGCATGAGTGACCGTGCATAGGGAGTGCCGATCCAGAAAGGGGCGCAACTGGCGTATCAGGCGAACCTGATAGAAAGCCCCCCTGGCCACGGCCGTCATATGCTCTTCTAAAGACAGCCGTGTGTCCAGGAGGACACCCAAGTTACGCGCCCTCTCCATGGGGGCCAATGTCTCGCCCCCAATAGTCAGCGATGGCACCAGCTGACTATATCGGGACGCCGGCATCCACAGCCACTCAGTCTTGGAGGGATTGAGTCGGAGCCTGTTCTAATTGAATATGCTCTAAACCAACCACATAGAGTTCTTTGTCCTGACCTGCAGAAGGAATCCTGAAAAATAACCAAAAAGTCCCAGGGAATTTTAAAAATTAATGTATTTAATAAGACACCATTCTATTTATTAGTTTCCTCAAATTATGAGGTGCACTGTAGCTCAGAAAAGCAGGTGCTGGAGATGTGTTAATTTTTGCAAAGTTGCAAAACTTTTTAAAGAAACTCCCCATATTCTGCAGTAGGCAGCATAAACATATTTTGAGGGGTGAAACATGTATTAGATATTAGAAAAAATATTAAAGTTTCATATCTGGGGTAATGTTTTATGGCTACAAGAGGCATTCCTTATGATTTGAAACTGATTCAGTCTGACTGAGGGAAGAGGGGAACATGATAACTGTCTTCCAGTACTTGAGGGGCTATCACAGAGAAGAGGGGACTGATTTATTCTCCAAAGCACCAGAAAGCAGAATAAAAAATAACTAGGTGGAACATCATCTAGCAGTAAAGATCAAATCTAGCAGTAAGGAGAACTTTCCTGATAGTGAGAACAATTAATCAGCCGAATAGCTTGCCTCCAGGAGTTGTGGGTGCTCCATCACCAGAGGTTTTCAAAAATAGACTGGACATCCATTTGATTGGGCTGGTGTAAGTCTCCTGCCTTGAGTAGTGGTTTGGACTAGAAGATCTCTGAGGTCCCTTCCAGTCTTATGATTCTATATCAGACCTGGGCATTCTATGGCCTGCGGCCCACATCTCACCTTTTGCCTGGTCTTGTCTGGCTTGTGACAGCGGCCCTATTGATTCCACCCACAACAGTTCTAATTTCTCATGTGGCGTCTGGAAAATTAATTGCCCACCGTGTTCTATTTTCTATGATAATAAGGCTTATATGTACTCCAGATCAGAGAGGAAAACAAGAAAACACAGTCAATTTCTAGCACACTGCAAACAATTGTTATCTTCTGTTGGACCAAGAGATTGGAGAAAAAGCGGCCTTGGTCAGATCCTGCGTTGTGCTCAGATGTTTTCATCTCTTTTGTAAACCTATCATTCTGATCTTCTCATTTTCCAATCTTTTATTAAGCTGAATCTCTATTTCACCTACCTTTCTGGTTGTTCTATGCTTTTTTTCCTATTTGCTTAGAGTGCTAGAATATTGTACTGACTGATTATATTTAATTTTCTCCTTATCTTGAGATAAGTGGTACTTGTGCTGGCTGTTGGGTTTTTTTTTAATTGCTTTTATGTAATGTCCGCTTTACGTAATTCTTCAATATTGCAAAACCATTTGATAAAGCATTCAAATTCAAATTGATTTGGTATTTGAATAAAAAAAACCACCTGATTTTTCTGCAAGATCTTTGATAATTAACTTATTTGTTGCTTGTAGTATTCATTTTTATTATATTCTCCTTTATAGCATCTAGAATCTCTGGATTCAGCTAGTTTACAGTTAATCCTCAACGTTGGATTCTTAAGTGGGTCACCATGTAGGTGGACCCATTTTTATGAGCTTCCTTGTGGCAGTTGTTAAGTGAACCCATAGTTTGCTATAGGCCAGATTTATGAACCTGTCATGGTCATATGAGTGAAATACACTGCAAATGGCCATAAATGAGGGCTGGTTACTGAGTACGCAAAATGCAATAATATAACCAATGGGGGAGGCGATATTGAAACCTTGGAACTTGGTTGTAAGTCATAACTTTGAACTGTCCCAAGTGTGAGAACTATCAGTATTAGTTTTATTACTAAAGACCATCAACCTTAAGAACATGGAGCTAAGTTACATTTAATCTTAGATCAGTGGTGAAATTCAATTTTTTTTTACTACCGGTTCTGTGGGCGTGGTGTGGCTTGGTGGGCATGGCTTGGTGGGCGTGGCAGGGGAAGGATACTGCAAAATCTCCATTTCCACCACACTCCAGAGGAAGGATATTGCAAAATCTCCATTCCCACCCCATTCTGGGACCAGCCAGAGGTGGCATTTGCCGGTTCTCTGAACTACTCAAAATTTCCACTACCGGTTCTCCAGAACCTGTCAGAACCTGCTGGATTTCATCCTATTTTAGATGGGTACTAAACTGTCAATATTCTGCTTCTTTCTTTCTTTCTTTCTTTCTTTCTTTCTTTCTTTCTTTCTTTCTTTCTTTCAGTGATGTTGTTTTTCTTTTCTGCATAGTAGAGATTTCTTGTTGTGGGGGTATTTTTCGCAAGTAGCTCCTTTTTCCTTAAAGTGACTTGTTACCATCATTATTGCAAATTGTCTCTTAAAACCCCTGTTAATTGGACTGCATGGATGAAATTTCAGTCACTCTTGTTGCACATTGCATCCAGTTCTGGTCACCATGATTCAATAAAAGATGTGGAGATATTCTAGAAAGAGTGCAGAGAAGAGCAGCCAAGTGATGTCACTCCTGGCAAGGTGGAGCAGCACCTTGGTGTGAGTGACATCGAGTTGGCCACAGCCACTCAGTCACATGACCCCCACAAGCCACGCACAAGCCATGCCCACCAAGCCACACCGACAGAACCGGCAGAAAAGACAGCTTCTGTGGCCTGTTCCTTTATGGTCCCCCCCTCCCCAGTTTGGGTGAACCAGTTAAAATTTCTGCTACTGCTTTGCCCAAACTGGTCCGAACCAACTGAATACCAGCTCTGAACAGAACCTTTTATAGCTAAGCATAGACGTGATATCAGGAACAGTTTCCCTCTAAGGCGTTGGGTGGGAAGAATAACTCATATTTTACAAAATGAGAAAGTGCTGGAAACTTGTTGCCCAGAATCTAAATCTCACGGACTTGGCCAATCCTTTGTTCCTCAAAATACGGAACTTTGAAATATTGATAATTTACGAACTCCATACAAATATCATTTTTAAGTAATAAATTACAAAATTGTTCAAAAACAAACTATCAGTTAGTAGATTTTTTCCCCCTCCTTACAGGATCAAGCACAACTCCTGTCTTTAGTTCTGGGCCATTCAGAAAGATGTTTTTGCTTCATATATTGCAAGGCATTAAAGTAGATGGTTATTCTAAGATTCCATCAGATTAAATGTCTTCCTGCCAACCGAGTTGTAGATCAAAAATTTACTGTACCTCAGAAGCTCAACCACCTTCCAGTATGTTCTAAAAGAAGAGAGAAAATAAAGCAAAAGATCAGGACGCCATCCTGATTTAACAAAAGATGAGAATGGATCCTCATAGGATCGAGGCCCAGGGCCCGGATCCGGCCTGCAGGGTGCTTAGATCTGGCCCACAAGGCCACCCCGGAAACAGCAAAGGACCGACCCACGATGCCTCTGCCAGCAAAAACAGAGCTTGGAAGGGACGGGGACTCCTGAGACGGCCTCCTGCAGCGCTCTGCCAGCGAAAATGGAGCTCCGTTTTCACTGGCAGAGGGCTGCAGGAGGTCATTGCAGCTGAAAACAGGGCCCGGGGGGCATGCATGATTCACCCAACCTCTATTTTTCCTAGCAGGGGGGCTGCAGGAGGCCATCACGGCTGAAAAAGATGCTCAGGAGCCTGTTTTCACCGACAGAGCACTCGGGCCACCACAAATGACCCCGACACGAGTGACGTCAAGCTGGCCATGTCCACCCTAGCCATGCCCAACCCCCCACCCCTGAGGTCAAACACAATCCTGATGTGACCCTCAATGAAATCGAGTTTGACACCCCTGCTCAAGATGATGATGTCAGTAGAAGCTGCTTGAATCTTAATTGAAGTATTGTGAGCCGCCCTGAGTCTTCGGAGAGGGGCGGCATATGAATTGAATTAATTAAATTAAATTAAATTAAACTGAAGCTTAATTGAACTCTACAGACTGACTCATGTATACAATTAGCATCCACGGTGGCTATTTTTCTTTAGAGGATTAGAATTGCATACCGCTTGTTGGGAATGCACAAAATGTACTGGGTTGGCTTTTTCAGAACACAAGCGGAGAGCTATAAGAATTACCCCAAAGGATCTCTTGAGCATATATGGGGAAGATTGTACGAGGGAGGACAATTACAGGGTTCTCTAAATGCCTCAAAGAGTTTTAAAAAAAAACAAACCAGGATTTTCTGGGGGAAAACCCACTCTTTTACCATCCAAAGACCCAAGCGATTCACACGTAAGGAGCTGTCCATGGTGCTGAAAGTTGCTGGTCTCCTCTGGGCTTCCTTCAATGTCCCCATGTCTGGGGGAAATAGAAGTCCCGAGGTCTACTAGAGAGCTGTTTGACGTTTCAACAAATTAAGAGGAAATGTTAGCACTGAGTATCTTAAGTATTTACTTTTTAAAAAAATGGTTTTTACTGAACATTTTCCAACTTTAAAAACCACAAGTGGAAGAAAAGGGGAAAAATAATAATAACAAGACGAATACAAACAAATAGAAAAAACAAACAACACAACAGTGTAATACAATTTTACAACTTTCCTTATCAGCATGCTTTTGCAATTCACTATTCAATAATTGCCTTCTCATAGATTTTAACGATTCTAGTAATAGTATAACAATTATATTATAATAATATAATACTGATTATAACCGATTGTACATATATACATTTATCTTTATATTATAGTCAATGGTTTTAGAACTTTTATTTCTTGTTTTGGTTTCTATTCTCTAGCCACTTGTACAGTCTACTCCAAGTTTTATAATAGTCCGATTCTTCTCTTTCTTTTAACTCCATGGTCATCCTGTCCATTTCAGCACACTCAAGTATCTTTCTAATTACCGTTTCATCCGAGGGGGTATTTAATCTTACGTATTTACTTAATCACATGACAACTGGATGAAATGTGAGGGACGCTGCTAGTCAACACCTCCCCTTTTCCCAAAGTAACTGGGCATCCGCTACCAACAAGAGAAGAGTAAATAAAGAAAAGGGGGCAGAATTCAATTTACATCCACGACTATACCTTCCAGCAGACAATCAAACTATCAGTAGGATTTACACATCGGTAAAATTTAAGGAAAGGCTGCAGATAGGAACATTGGGCATCCAGAGAAACTCCAGAAGGTGGGCTTGCAAGAGATGTCCACAGCAGTCCTGTTCGTTTACTCTTAAGGACCAGTGGAGAACATCATCGAGACTCAAGGGCCAACGCAGACAGCAGCCATCAAAATGAAAGTTACACTGAACAGCATTTCTGTGTTTGCAGTCTTGGCAGGTGTTATAAGTCTCACCTTCCTGGTGGCTGCCCTGGCCACAGACTTTTGGTACCAAATTGATGCTTCAGGATTGGAGGTGTTCACCAACCATACAGGTAGCTTGAAGTCCCATAGAGGTCTCTGGAGGACTTGCCAATGTAAGTACATCCAGGGTTTTCCTGGGAAGTTGGTGGTTGTTTTTTTTGGCAAGTAATCGGTGTATGTATTTGGCGTAACTGAATGAACCTTTTCCAAGGCTAGATTCCCAAGTGGTCCAACAATGTGGTGGATGGAGACTTTTAATGCCAAAGGAGAAGATTTGTGTATTTTGATAAGGAGAAAGCTTTAAAAACGTTCGGTGTCATTTTGTCACAGGGGTACACAAACGTGTGAATTCTCCTGAATTTGCATAAGCTTCTCACCCCATTTTTTGTTCCCTTATCCTAACAATGGCTAGGTTCCATGACTACAGTTTCGTTTCAAACAAGATTCATCTGAACCCATGGCCTTTCGAATATTGTCAAGGCTTAGAAGAACAAAAATAATGCTATAATGTCGTCCCCCCCCACCCTATGATTTAGTCTGATGAAAGAGAAGTTAGAATTTAGAATAACAGAGTTGGAAGGGACCTTGGAGGTCTTCTAGTCCAACCCTCTGCTTAGGCAGCACACTCTATACCATGGAGTGTACAAATGGATGTCCAATCTCTTCTTAAAAACTTCCAGTATTGGAGCATTCACAACTTCTGGAGGCAAGTTGTTCCACTGATTAATTGTTCTGTCAGGAAATTTCTCCTTAGTTCTAAGCTGCTTCTCTCCTTGATTAATTTCCACCCATTGCTTCTTCTCCTACCCTCAGGTGCTTTGGAAAATAGCTTGACTCCCTCTTCTTTGTGGCAACTCCTGAGATATTAGAACACTGCTATCATGTCACCCCTATTCCGTCTTTTCATCAAATCAGACATACCCAATTCCTACAACCGTTCTTCATATGTTTTAGCCTCCAGTCCCCTAATTATCTTTGTTACTCTTCTCTGCACTCTTTCTAGAGTCTCTACATCTTGTGGCAACCAAAACTGGATGCAGGATTCCAAGTGTGGCCTTACCAAGGCCTTATAAAGTGGTATTAACACTTCACGTGATCTTGATTCTATCCCTCTGTTAATGGGGCTTAGAACTGTGTTGGCTTTTTTGGCAGCTGCTGCACACAGCTGGCTCATATCTAAATGGTTGTCCACTAGGACTCCCAGATCCCTCTCACAGTTAGTACTATTGAACGAGGTACCACATATACTGTACCTGTGCATTTTGTTTTTCTTGTCTAAATGTAGAACTTTACTTTTTTCACCATTGAATTGCATTTTGTTAGATAGCGCCCAATGTTCAAGTTTGTCAAGATCCTTCTGTATCTTGAGCCTATCTTCTGGAGTGTTGGCTATTCCTGCCAGCTTGGTGTCATCTGCAAATTTGATGAGTTCCCCATCTATCCCCTTGTCCAAGTTAGCGTGGAAGTTGTTTGGAAGGAGAAGAGAATTTTGGACAATTTGTCCTAGGTGGAGGGTTGGGGTGAATATGGGTCCCTCTTTAATGACAAGGTGGCCAGGAAATGTGTGCATAAGTCTTGTCTTTCATTGTGTAATCCTCTCTGCAAATCCCTAGAGGAGATTCCAGGTAGAAATTTCTTCCTAGCATCTATTCTCAGCTGTCACTACCTAAAGTGGATTGTGTACTTTCCCTGCAAGGATTTTTCTTCACATATTCAGGATTTTGAAAAGCCATATATTTTATTTTAACTGGGGCACCTTGAGAAACTATGAATGAGAAAAGTATAAACCTATACTTTATAGCCCATATGTATGGATTATATAACTGCCCAGAGTCTTTGGGTTGGGCAGTATATATATTTTATGAATTGTTTTTATCATCATTATACAGACAGAGAGCCTATAGTTCTTGTTCAGATCAGCAAGATTTCAACTATGCTATTTCTCAAAATATTATAGCTTGGTCCATATATATAGTTTATATAATTTATAATATATATATTATATTATAATATAATATAATATAATGTAATGTAATGTAATATAATATAATATAATATAATATAATATAATATAATATAATATAATATAATATAATATAATATAATATAATTATAATATAATATAATATAATATAATATAATATAATATAATATAATAATACAGTACAGTACAGTACAGTACAATACAATACAATACAGTACAGTACAGTACAGTACAGTACAGTACAGTACAGTACAGTACAATAATATAATTATTTAGTTTATATAGTTTCTTCCCCAAACCCTCAAAATTTTAACCTTAAACTGTCTACTGTTGACCTCACCCCATTCCTAAGAGGTCTGTAAGGGGCGTGCATAAGAGCACCAGCGTGCCTTCTGTACCCTGTCCTAATATTCCTTTTTACTTACACTTTTTGGGTATTCAAATTATGTTTATACTTTTACCTGTAATCTTATATATGCTTGACAAATAAATAAAGAAATAAAATATAATCGCCCTGACCGAATGCAAGAACTTTGGACAATACATATCCACACAACATGCTAAGAACATTCTAATAATGAGGCAGAGAACATTTGGGTGGCTAGGGCTGCATTTCATGGCTTCTATTTTAACTGCCAGCTTAAGCAAACTCGAAGCTTAAGTTGTTTAAGCGGTGGTGCCAAGTTGGAAATTGTTGACCCCAAACTGTTGCTTGAGCAGGTGTCCTATGGTTTCCCCTTTTCTTGCAGTTAATAGGACATGCCTCCCTATGGTAAACCCGTTCAAGTCTAAGACCGCAAACATGACAACTTCGCGTAAGAACATCCTGTGTAAGTAGCTTTCTAAGTTGTATTTCCTGACAGCAGTTGCCATACAAGGAAGTCAGCGTTGTCTACCAACTCTGCCCTCTGACTCCAGTGATTTATTCACTGGGAAGAATTTTTTTTTTTTACAATGCTAGGGTTTGGTATTTCTCCAAAAACTTCTTCAAATGAATGAACTGAAAGGGCGGTGCACATCAGGGGTGAAATGCTCCCGGTTCGGACCGGATCGCCCGATCAGGTAGCGATGGCAGCGGGTGGTTCGCAGAACTGGTAGCAAAAATCCCATGCCCAGCTGAGCCGCGCAATCATCAGAGGCTTTTTAAAAAAAAATTTAAAAGCATTTTTTCTACAACCTCTTTGGCTGAAAAAATGCTTTTAAAAGTAAAAAAAAAAAAAGCCTCTGATGATCGTGCGGCTCAGCTGGGATCGTCAGAGGCTTTTAAAAGCATTTTTCTACAACCTCTTCGGCTGAGTTGCCTGATGGGCAGAGCCTTTTAAAAGCATTTTTTTTACAACCTCTTCAGCCGAAGAGATTATAGAAAAAATGTTTTTAAAAGAAAAAAAAAGCCTCTGACAATCAGGCAACTCAGCTGGGCTCATCAGAGGCATTTTTTAACAACCTCTTTAGCTGAAGAGGTTTTAGAAAAAATAGTTTTAAAAGCAAAAAAAAAAGTTGGCCACACCCACTCAGTCACATTACCCCCACCAAGCCACGCCCACAGAACCGGTAGTAACAAATTTTACATTTCATCACTGGGCTGGATGGAGTCACTGAAGCAGTTGGCGTGAGCTTAAATGGTCTCCGGAGGACAGGAAGGCCTGGAGGAACGTTGTCCATGGGGTCGCAATCAGAGGTAGTATTCAGCAGGATCTGACCAGTTCTGGAGAACCGGTAGCGGAAATTTTGAGTAGTTCGGAGAACCGGTAGTAAAAATTCTGACTGGCCCCGCTCCCATCTATTCTCAGCCTCACGAGCCTCACTGATCGGGAGGAAATGGGGATTTTGAGGTAACCTTCCCCTGGAGTGGGGTGGGAATGGAGATTTTACAGTATCCTTCCCCTGCCATGCCCACCAAGCCATGCCATGCCCACAGAACCAGTAATAAAAATTTTAGAATCCCACCACTGGTCGCGATGGGTCGGACATGACTTTGCAATTAACAACACTTGGCTGATCTTAACTTCATTTTACAAGATCAGGAAAGATCAAACAGAGCCTTCTCCATGCTGAAATTGGCAGATATAATAATAACAACCATAATTTGCTGCCACTAAGAAGGGGCATTTTAACATCATTATTGAAATGGTAGCATTCCAATTTGTGATAGGACTATTAACCTTGCTTGCGGGAAGCTGCCTGGCAGAAGCCAGGTATTACTGACCTTAGAAGGGGGAAATGAAGTCTGGCTGGAAGTCTCGTGGGACAGAACCTGGAAGGAGTTGACCCCATTTAATCTGGTTGGCTGGTCAGATGAAGAGAAGAAGGTAGTCCCTCAGAAAAAGCTCTGGAACCACAAAGAGGTTTTATTGGCAGCAATCAGCACCTTGAATTGCACCTGGAAGCTAATTGGCAAACAATACAGCTCTTGAAATAAAGTTGTTATATGAGTATCTTGAAGTGAAGCGATAATGATTCAGACTTGAGAAAGACAAATCACACTTAAAAAAAAATATCTAGTAATTCTGATTGTACTACCATGTTTTCCCGAAAATAAGACCCTGTCTTATATTTTTTTGAACCCCAAAATATGAGAGAGAGAGAGAGAGAGGGAGGGAGGGAGGAAGGGAGAGAGAGAGACTCTGGACAACACCTTGTGCTTTGGAAATGTAAAAGGGATCCAACATGAATCAGTTTGCTGTTAACATAGGAAAACTCTCCCTTCCTTTCTTGTAAATAAACGAACACTAGGTATTTTTCTGGGCTTTGGGCCTGCCCCATGGCAAATCAACAGAGGTTACATACATGAAGAACATTGATGTACCGTGTTTCCCCGAAAATAAGACCCTGTCTTATGTTTTTTTTTAACCCTAAAAATAAGCGCTTAGCCTTTTTTTCAGGGAGATCTTATTATTTTGGGGGTGCGTGGAGCAAGACGGGGCTCTTCTTGCTGTCTCACCTGATTTCCAGCTCTGTCTCCCTAACCCTAATCAGAGGAAATGGCAGGGACCGGCTGCGCATGCGGTTTAATATATTTGTTGGGGGGCTTATTTTCGGGGAGGACTTATTTTCAGAAGGGGCTTATTTTAGCGCATGTTCTCAAAAGCCTGATTGGGCTTATTATCTGTGGAGGTCTTATTTTCGGAGAAACACGGCACCTCTCTATGTAACACAAAGACAACTTTCTCTTCCTCCTTCTCTAGTGGTACTTACTGGATCTTCGGGGAAAATGTACCCTGTTTCCCCCAAAATAAGACATCCCCTGATAATAAGCCCAATCGGGCTTTTGAGCTTATGGCAATAAGGCCAAGCGCTTATTTCAGGGTTCAAAAAAATATAAGAGAGGGTCTTATTTTCGGGGAAACACGGTATGTCTATTAATTTTCAATTATTTCAAATGTATGTCTAGTTTAATGAAATAAGGGCAAGGAGTGAAATGATAGCAGTGTTCCAATATCTAAGGGGTTGTCAAAAAAGAAGTGGGGATCAACCTATTCTCCAAAGCACCTGAAGGTAGAACAAGAAGCAATGAATGGAAACTAATCAAAGAGAGAACCAACCTAGAACGAAGGAGAATTTTCCTGACAGTGAGAATAATTAACCAATGGAACAGCTTCTCTCCAGAAGTTGTGGGTGCTTCAAAACCAGATCTTTTTAAGAAGAAACTGAACAACCATTTGTCTGTAATGGTTTAGTTTCCTGCTTTAACAGGGGATTGACCTAGAAGACTTCCAAAGTCCCTTCCAATGGTTATTCTATTATTCTGAACATATCAGCTGCCTTTCATTCCTGTTCAGAGGTAGTAGGAACTGCCGTAGGTTCCCCTACCTGGATTTGAGCTGGTGCAGGAGGAAATAAAGCAACTGGAAGCATAAATCCTGACCGCTTTTAGAAGACCACATCTAGGAGAAGTCCAAAGCTACGGAGAGGCACCTAGCAACCTTCTGTTTGGGCAGCTGGTAAGACAATGGTCCTGGGTTGATGGGTCAGAGAAAGAGAAATGGAAAAGCAATTGAATTGGAACAAAGCCAGCGATAAAGAGCCATCATGCGGAGGGCTCCTAGGACACAGGAGAAAGCTTCAAGGAATGTCAGCTTATCCATTAGTGGTTAATGATTATCTCGGTGCAGCGAGGAGAACTTGCAAACAAAAACAGCTGCTCCACGAGGTGCTTGGTGAAATGCAACCTGGGATTTACTCAGATGGAAAGGAAAGGACCCAGCTGGAGGATTTAGCATCATAGTTTGCTTTTTATTTATTTATGCAGATAAGTAATCGCCCAGCATCTTGAAGTTAAACAGTATTCGAGGCCAACAGACCAAGAGACCTGCACTCTGAGATCTGGACTGCCATTGTAGAAAAGGTTCTTCCTGCCATCAATCAATTGGATGGTTGTTGAAGTCTTGTTCTGAGAAGCACGGATGAGTTTTGCTGTTGTCCACAAACACTGCTGGCTCATATTTAAATGGTTGTCAACTAGGACTCCAAGATCCCTCTCACAGTTACTGCTATTGAGCAAGGTACCTGTTGGGACCCAGGCCCAAGTAGTTATTACCAGACACAATCAGTCCTAAACAAACATATTTTATTAGAACAGCTGAGAATTACTTCATTCTCAGATTAGTCCAAATTAACTCCAAAACAAATTCTTCATAAACAGTCCTTCGGCCTTATCATCAACCTTTGTCTTCTTTGGCATCCTGCTAAAAGCTTTTCTTGGCAAAAGTTCAGAAGCAAGAGATACCAACAAGAAACAAATGTAGCAACGTTGCTTTCCTACAAGATCCCAAGAGCCGTTGCTGCTCTTTTAAACCTTCTGGGAGGGGCCAATTATCTCCTGGCCTTACACCCGAGTCGTCCATTTTGCTTTAGCTGCTCTTGCCTTTTGGCAGTTCTTCTCATGCATGCACTAGGAACAGGCTCCTCCTGTTCCTCTGCCTCTCTGATGTCTGCCTCTGGAGGCTCCGGAGTTTGCACATAACTCCCAGATGGGCCTGGCCCCATCTCTGCCTCTGATGCAGAGCCCTCGTCTGAGCCTTCCCCTGACTCCAGGACTGGCCCATGTTCTTCCTCAGCCTCATCGCTGTCCGACTCCGCTGCCAGCTCCGCAGGCTGCTGGCGGACCACAACACTACCACATATAATGCACAGGTACAGTATATGTGGTACTTTGTTCAATAGTGGTAACTGTGAGAGAGATCTTGGAGTCCTAGTGGACAACCATTTAAATATGAGCCAGCAGTGTGCAGCAATTGCCAAAAAAGCCAACACAGTTCTGGGCTGCATCAACAGAGGGATAGAATCAAGATCACGTGAAGTGTTGATACCACTTTATAAGGCCTTGGTAAGGCCACACTTGGAATTCTGTATCCCGTTTTGGTTGCCATGATGTATAAAAAGATGTCGAGACTCTAGAAAGAGTGTAGAGAAGAGCAACAAAGATGATTAGGGGACTGGAGGCCAAAACATAGAAAGAACAGTTGCAGGAACTGGGTATGTCTACTTTGATGAAAAGAAGGGCCAGTGAAGATATAATAGCAGTGTTCCAATATCTCAGGGGCTGCCCCAAAGAAGAGGGAGTCAAGCTATTCTCCAATGCATCTGAGGGCAGGACAAGAAGCAATGGGTGGACACTAATCAAGGAGAGAAGCAACTTAGAACTAAGGAGAAATTTCCTGACAGTTAGAAACAATTAATCAGTGGAACAACTTTCCTCCAGAAGTTGTGAATGCTCCAACACTGGAAGTTTTTAAGAAGAGACTGGACAACTATTTGTCTGAAGTGGTGTAGGGCTTCCTGCCTGGGCAGGGGGTTGGACTAGAAGACCTCCAAGGTCCCTTTCATCTCTGTTATTCTATTCTAACATGAATGCCTCTCCTCTGGGGCAGTAGCTGAGTTGCCCCAAATCAGAGAATCGGTTCAGGTGGGCATATCTGCAACGCCAGTGCACACCCATCTTTTTCGTTGGATCTTCAGGCCTGCCACATTTACTACTGTGGGAAACTGGGAGGGGGGATTGTATGGAGCATGGGTTATAAATAGTCATAATAACATTCCTTTCTTAGAGAGTCAAGGACATCTTGCCCTGCACCTGGAAGGCTGGAACAGGGAGGCATCTCAGGTTGGGATGGTGCTTGGGTTGGACCATGTGATGGACATGTGGATGCAAGGAAAGGGACTTGAACTTTCCTTTGGGTGGGGAAAACCTGGAAGCTTTCAGATTCGGGTTTTCCCAGATGTGCCAATATGGCATTTCTAATCAAATGGAACTTTGAGGAAACTCAACCTCAGAGTTTTCTTTTGTTGGGGGTGTTACTTGGAACCTTGACCATCCTCTTCCCTGCTGTTTCAATCCCTGGCCTCCATTTCTTCTCATCACTGCTTTGAGGAAAATTGAAATGACTGCCTCTCTCCCTCTCTCTCCTTCCAGACCTTCATGGAGCATTTGTGATCCTGCTGCCTCTAAGCCTCATCATCATAGTCTTTGGAGGAATGATGGGTATCATCAGCGTCTTCACCCAAAACTTCTGCCTTCTGCTGTTCACCGGGGTGCTCTTTCTTCTCGGAGGTATGTGGTCAAAGCAGTCCTTGAGATGAAGTGATATCATGTGAAGTGAAGGTATCACTTTATACTGCAAGGTGAAACCAGACTGCATCCAGTTCTGGTCACCATGATACAAAAAGATTTTGAGACCCTAGAAAGAGTGCAGAGTGGAGCAACTAAAATGATAAGGGGTCTGAAGGCTAAACCGTATGATGAACAATGTCAGGGAACTACCATATTTTTCGGAGTATAAGATGCATCGGATTATAAGACGCACCTACCTTTTTTGGTGAGGAAAACAAGAAAAAGAAATCTGCCTCTGCCTCCCAGCAATTTTGCCTCGTTGCAGCAAACAGCAAACAGCCTGCTTTACTTTCATTTTTGTTTTCAGCACAGCTTGATTAGCACAAGGGGAAAAAAAAAATCTGCTCCAGCAATTTACCTCCTTGCAGCCAGCAGCAGAGGCCCGCACAAAACAGTTGAGAGCAAAACAGCTGCGAGTCGGGAGGCCGATCCAATCAACTTGTGCTAATTAGGCTGTGCTGAAGCTGAAAGGAGCTGTTTTTTCTTGCTGTTTGCTGCAAGGCGGTAACTGCTGGGAGGGAGAGGCCAAAGGGTGGGAGTCAGTGGGTTGGCAGGGCTACATTTGGTGTATAAGATGCACCTAAATTTTCACCCCCTTTTAGGGGGGAAAAAGGTGCATCTTATACTCCGAAAAATACGGTAGGCATGTCTAGTCTAATGAAGAAAAGAATTAGGGGTGACATGATAGCAATCTTATGATACTTGAGTAGCTGCCACAGAGAAGAGAGAGGTCACCTTATTTTCCAAAGCACCTGAACATTACGGTAAGTAATGGGTGCAAGATCATTCAAGAGAGAGCCAATCTAGAATTAAGGAGAAATTTCCTGACAGTGACAACAATTAATCAATGGAATAGCTTGCCTCCAGAAGTTGTGGGTGCTCCATCACTGGAGGTTTTCAAGAAGAGTCTGGACAGCCATTTGTCCAGAATGAAATAGGATCTCCTGCTTGAGCAGAGGGCTGGACTAGAAGATCTCCAAGTTTCCTGTTCTGTCCCCCTTCCTCACACAGGCAAATGTAATACCAAGCACGCCTGCCAATATTTTATTAGGTAAACAGATTAGAATTCTTGGCAGACCAAGATTTTGGCAGCAAACTGCCAAATGCCATTTCATTTCAAGACCATTTCCACTCCCATAAAGTAAAAGAGGACTTATCTTCAGTCCGTTCCAGGAGCAACAAATTATCCACGAGACAAGAGTTTAGTCAATGTTCAGTCCAAAATATATCCAAGCCGAATTTCAGAGATCACGATGTGACTTGCAGGGTTTAACTTTGTCTGTCACAAAGCCTGAAAAGCAATCCCACCCACTTTTATTCCGGGTGGGGCGTGGCTCCGTGACTTAGCTCAATCTCTGGCCCTCCCACGCCTCTTCCGTTGCTGCGCACGCTTCTCCCTCTGATGCTGCCTGGGATCAAGCCAGGATTCATCATCCCCACTCCCTATCAATTGGTGCTCCGATATGCCTTCCTCCTGGCACATCCCAGGCTGTTCCTCCTGGCTTTTGGATGGAACCTGAGGCATTGCCAGAAAGAAGGGTCCTGGAGAGGGAGACTTTGTCAGTTCCTCCCCATCATCTTCTGAGTCCTCTTCCTCTGTAAGGACAGGCTCGGGAGTCGAGGTCACAACATTTCCTTCCAACCCTGCTCTTCTATGTTTCTAATGATTTGAGAGTCCAAAAAGTAACATCTGGAGTTGACTTAGAGTCAGCTGGCCACTCAGATGGCTCTCCAAAATTCTCCATCAAATCTGTGGGCAGAAAAGTGGGATGGATTTTTCCAAGGGAAGGAATCTGGAGTCTGATAGGACCTTTTCTTGGCTGAACTCGGTTGATTAAAAGGCAGAAGCTTTGGTTAATCTCCTGAAAACCTCTGCTTTTTAATCTTAGTGATTTCCTTAGAATGCCATTTGACCGTATCAAATATATAAAACAGATGCAAAAAAATACAAATGGATACAAAGAAGACAAAAGGACATGTTCATAGTAAGTCATCACGTCTAATGGTGAAGGCTGATCTCTGGCAAGAAAGTCATACATTGTATCCTGTGACTGTGGAATGCTTTATTTATTTATTTATTTATTTATTTATTTATTTATTTATTTATTTATTGGTTCGATTTATGTGCCGCCCTTTTCCGGAGACTCAGGGCGGTTTACAATGCGTTAAGCAATAGCCTTCATACTTTTTGTATATACCTGCTTAGTAGGGCTTTCGGACCCCCCTAAGCGGTGTTCTTTTTTTATATATATACAAAGTCAGCTTATTGCCCCCACAAACCGGGTCCTCATTTTACCTACCTTGAAAGGATAGAAGGCTGAGTCAGCCTTAAGCCTGGTGAGATTTGAACTTGCAGTAATTGCAGGCAGCTGGTATTACTTAACAGTGCTTTAGTCTGCTGCGCCACCAAGGCTCTTGGCTTGTCTAGGTCTAGGCCTGAGGGTCTAGGACAGGGATCTGCAACCTTAAACACTCAAAGAGCCATGTGGACCCATTTCCCACAGAAAAGAAATCACCGGGAGCCACAAAACCTGGGTGGGCGTGGCCAACTCCACATCAGTCCCTCCCACCCAGTCACATGACACACATCCCAGCCACGCTTATCCAGGTTTTGTGCCTTCTGGTGTTACTTCAAGTAATCGCCCTTACCTTCTTAGGCCAGGCGAGGAGTGACTAGGAGGGGAGGGCGAGGGGCTGGGCCAGCCAGTGGTGGATTCAGCAGACAGGGAGCCACAGCAGGGGGACGAAAGAGCCACATGCGGCTCCGGAGCTGCAGGTTGCAGACACCTGGTCTAGGACAACTCGGCACAGCCAACTCGCCGTGGCCAACTTTGATATTAGAAATGGTGGAATAGAATCATTAAAGAAAGGAATGCAAAAGGAGGGACAGAATGAAATGTGAATGGCAAAAATTAAACTAAGTTTTTAATTATTTTAAATACTTGCATTGAATTGTTGAATTTTCCCGCAGCGAGTTGTCCCATGGTGGGTGTGTTGGCAGTGGCGAGTTGGCTGTGGCAAGTTGGCCACACCAGGTTGTCCCATTCCATACCACAGGTGTGTCTCTCTGTGTGTGCCACCATCAGCACTCCAGATTTGAGCCTTTAGGGAGGGTGGGGACCAGGGGTGAAATCCAGCAGGTTCTGACAGGTTCCGGAGAACCGGTAGTGGAAATTTTGAGTAATTTGGAGAACTGGAATGGAGATTTTGCAATATCCTTCCTCCAGGAGTGGGGAGGGAATGGTGACTTTGCAGTATCCTTCCCCTGGAGTGGGGTGGGAATGGAAATTTTGCAGTATCCTTCCCCTGCCATGCCCACCAAGCCATACCACGCCCACCAAGCCACGCCCACAGAACCTGTAGTAAAAAAATTTGGATTTCACCACTAGTTGGGACCATCATAACTGAAGTTATAGTAAGTTAGGATTACCTGTACTCATGCACTCATTGCTACAATGACTAAATTCTTTCTGGTTTCAGAATCTGCATAGTGGTTTTTAGAGTGGAATGGGACAACTCCAGTGGTGAAATCAATTTTTTTTTACTACCGGTTCTGTGGGCGTTGCTTGGTGGGCATGGTGTGGCTTGGTGGGTGTGGCTTGGTGGGTGTGGCAGGGGAAGGATACTGCAAAATCTCCATTCCCACCCCACTCTGGGGCCAGCCAGAGGTGGTATTTGCCGGTTCTCCGAACTACTAAAATTACTAAAACTACTAAAATTAAAATTTCCTCTATCGGTTCTCCAAACTACTCAAAATTTCCTCTACCGGTTCTCCAAACTACTCAAAATTTCCTCTACCGGTTCTCCAAACTACTCAAAATTTCCACTACCGGTTCTCCGAACTACTCAAAATTTCCGCTACCGGTTCTCCGAACTACTCAAAATTTCCTCTACCGGTTCTCCAAACTACTCAAAATTTCCACTACCGGTTCTCCAAACTACTCAAAATTTCCTCTACCGGTTCTCCAGAACCTGTCAGAACCTGCTGGATTTCACCCTTGTACAACTCACTATAGCCAACTCACCGTGGCCATCTCGACATGGCCAACTTGCCACGAGATAACTTGTGGTGGGACAATTCCACCTGGGATACCTCAATGTGATAAATATAATCCCCCACTGTTTCTTTGGCATTATTTTTGTTGACAAAAATGGAAATAATGTAGAAGAAAGAGTGGTGGATAACATTTTTTGCATTGTTATCCCATGTGTTGAGTTTATTTTATTGATTAGCCCTTGGGCCATATCAAAGTGCAGAGTTCCAGATGCAAATTATTACTAAAATCTGATAAAAATGGTTTAAAATAGAATTGTATAAAATACAATTTAAAATGAAATTGGAATAAAGTATGGTTTAAAATGAAATTGGAACAAAATACAATAATTTAATATATAGATAAATAAAATATGATACAATTATATTTCGGTGTCATCCCTATAATCTACCCCAATCAGTCCCACCTATATTGATCTCAACTGAACCATTTTGCTCGACTACTGTGCTGTGTTAAATGTTATTTTCAGATTCTTACCCCACATGGATTATCCCGTGGCAAGTTGGACGTGGCAGGTTGGCTGCTGCGAGTTGTTCCTAGACCCTTATTTATTTATTTATTTATTTATTTATTTATTTATTTATTTATTTATTTATTTATTATTATTTAAATTTTTATACCGCCCTTCTCCCAAGGGACTTAGGGCAGTGCACAGCCACAATAAAACACGTATATCCATAAAATTTAAAAACAGTTTAAAACATATTAAATAATTTGGCCCTATATTAAAACTAAAACACCCATTAAAATTCGTTATTAAACCAGCCCAGCCTGTTGAAATAGTAAAGGGCACGGCGAAAGGTACGTAGGTCAGGATCATACGAATCTCCGGGGGCAGTTCATTCCAGAGGGCAGGTGCCCCCACAGAGAAGGCTCTCCCCCTGGGGGTCGCCAGTCAACATTGTTTGACCGACAGCACCCTGAGGAGTCCCTCTCTGTGGGAACATATTGGCTGGTGGGAGGCTATCAGTGGCAGAAGGCGAGAGAGTTATGGAGAGAGTTTTCAATATGCATGGACCCCTCTGACTCTGTTTGTGTCCTTTTTAGCTCTTGTTACCCTTCTTGGGGTCAGCATCTACATTGCTTATTCCGCTGCCCTCTTCAAGCACGTTGCGTCTTTTCAGGGGAGGAAGAGTCTCATGGAAAATCTCAGCATCCAGTTTGGCTGGTCTCTGGTCTTCGCTTGGGTCTCTATCGGCGCGGAGCTTCTCACCGGGTTGGCATTTGTTCTCCTGGCCAAGATGGTGGGCCAGAAACGACGGTGGGACAATTTCATTTGAGAGTGTCGGAGATGATCCTCTTCACTGCTCTTTCCATGCCTGGCCTCTGTCTCTTTCTCATCACTGCTTTGAGCTAAGTTGAAGTCACGCTTCCAGGGGCTTCTGCCACTGCTTCTAGTAGCTGAGAACTTTCAGTCAAAACTGAGATCAGAAACCCAAAAGGATTTGTGCAGAGCTGTGAGTCCATGTAAAATAAGCAAATGAAAAGTCTGTATCTTCAATTACTGCATTCCACAAAAAAAACAAAAAACAAAAACCCAACGTTTCCTTGAACAAATTAACACGATATCTTTATTTTGTCTAATTTATCCTCCCCCCCCTTAAAATTATTCACCGTAACTTTGGTGCTGCCAGTTAGATTGGCAGATCAGGGTTAAAATCAGCCTTTCACCCTTCAATTTTGGAAATCTTGGCCATTCACCCTTCTAACTTCTGAAGTTTCAGTAGTTAATTTTTCTAAGGACTACCTAGAAATTTCCTTCTTTTATTTTTATTTTTATTTTATTTATTTTAATTTGATTTATATGCCACTCTTGTCCGGAGACTCAGGGCAGCTTACAATGCGTTAAGCAATAGCCTTCATTCTTTTGTATATTTATACAAAGTCAGCTTATTGCCCCCACAAACTTGGTCCTCAATTTACCTACCTTAGAAAGGATGGAAGGCTGAGTCAACCTTGAGTCTGGTGAGATTCGAACTTGCAGTAATTGCAAGCAGCAGATGTTAATAACAGGCTATTAGTCTGCTACGCCACCAGGTTCCTCTTTTCTTCCTTCCTTCAATTTTAAAGGAGAGAAAATGAAACAAAAATCTGAGATTATCAGGAGTTTAGAATCTAGACAAATTCTGTAGTTGTTTCTGCTCTGGCAGAAGGAAATATTAGCAGTATTCACTCCACACACACACACACACACACTATATATATAGTGAAAATATATAGAAAAGAAAAGAAAAGAAAAGAAATACACACACACACACACACACACATTTATATATACATACATACATAAGAAAATAGAAAATACATACATACATATACACATACATAGATACATACATACGTACGTACATACATACATACATACATACATACATACATACATACATCTATGTATGGTAGTCCTTGACTTAGGACCACAATTAATTTCTATTGCTAGGCAAGACAATTGTTAACTGAGTTGCATCCCATTTTACAAACCTTTTCGTCAGTTATTAAGCGAACCACTGCAGTTATTGTTAAATGAATCATGCCATTGTTGGCAAATCTGGCTTTCCCCATTGAGTTTGCTTGTCGGACGCCAGCTGGTGAAGGTTAAAAATTGCAACCACATGACCCCAGGACAATCAATCCATGGAACGGAAATTGCCTTCAGAACTTGTGGGAACTTCATCACTGTAAGTTTTCAAGAAGAGATTGAACTGCCATCTGTCAAAAATGGTGTAGGGTCTCCTGCTTGGGTAGATAGGTTGGACTAGATGACCTACAAGGCCCCTTCCAACTCTGTTAATCTAATCTGAAATCTAATCTAATTATTTATGATAAACTCTGATGTGTAAACCCACCAAACAGTTCAGTTTAACAATTAGATGATATACTGCGTATCCAGTTAGTCATTTTCAATATAATGGCAGCAAATTCCAGTCACTTGATGGGAAAATGGGTAGTATATAAATTGAATGAATGAATGAATGAATGAATGAATGAATGAATGAATGAATCTTCTCCTGGATTGTGCTGTCACAGAACATTCATAAAGAAGCTATCTGCAAAAGTCAGAACTATTGCAATTTTGGCAAATTCTTCTTTTTCATTATTAAAGTTTATTATAATATTAAATAGAAATGATAGCAAAGATAATAAGAAATAGGGAAAAGCAAAAGAAGGGAAAGGGAAGGAGGAAGGGAAAAAAGTTGTGACTTCGAACTTCTTTCAGTGCAGTAAAATACGAAACACAGTTGCAACCTTAAACTTTTTGCTGTACATATTTAGTAAGCTCTAGTCATTTCTGTAAAAATACAGTTAATCTAATCATCAAAACCTAAAGTCGAAGTTTTATTTTTTTTTCTCCCTCTTTTGAGCGTAAAGCCCAGAATCAGTTTCCAGAAAACGGAAACAAAACTGGATAAGTTCTTTTCTTTAATTACTTTAATTCAGGTTCATGTTTTGCCATCTGCAGTTTTGGCAAATTTGATAATGTTAGTTTGTCACCTACCTCTCCTCAGAGGAGTATGTGTACGGGTGAGAAAGTTTTTATTTTTCCTTCAAAGAAAAGAAAGAAAGAAAGAAAGAAGGAATGAAAGAAAGAAGGAAAGAAAGAGAAAGAGAAAGAAAGAGAGAGAGAAAAAGAAAGAAAGAAAAGAAAGAAAGAAAGAAAGAAAGAAAGAAAGAAAGAAAGAAAGAAAGAAAGAAAGAAAGTCAAGCACCCTTAAGTGATGGAAGGAAGAGAAAAGTGCTAATGGGGTTCGGCTTAATTTCAGAGGAAATAAAAGAATGTGTGGGAAAACTTCGGTCTTTGCTGACATCTAGTGGCAAGAATGAGAACTGATTAGCTCAGTAATAAAAGCCTGTGAAAAGAGAAAAGATTACAAAATCTAACGTTAATTTAAAAGTCTGTGTAGAGATTCTCAGTCATTCAGGTCATAGTTGTCCCAAAGGAAGCTTCTTGGATGAGAAGCAAAACATCTTCAAAAGAAAAAAACAAGAAAGTCCAGTTGCCTCCTAAAAAAAGCACCTTTGCTTTGGGACAATCATCATCTAGGAATCAATACCTTTATGTGTTCTGCCCTTGACTGTGTCTTCTCACTCCATTTCCCCCCCAAATGGATAGAGGCTCCATGCTCAGATTATTGTAGCTGGTTTGTTGTTAATGTAAATGTTTTAATTTTAATACTTAATCTTTTAATATATTTTATTTTTAATTGTTTATATTACTTTTTACGATATTGTAAACCTCTCAGAGTCACTTGATAGTCAGATGGGCACGTATAAATTTAATAATAAAAATAAAATAATAATAAGAAGAAATCACTTAATATTGTAAAGTTAATGGAGAAACAAGGTGATGCTTGCGTGATCATTCTCTTCTTATTCCCTGCAGAGGGAATCAAAATTGTGGAGCCCGTGGTGCTTTCTGAGCTTGGCTGTTTTCTTGCAGATGTTTCATTATCCAACTAGGTAACCTCATCAGTGCTAGAAGAGAGTGGGGTTGTGCTCTTTATTTATACACAATATAAATATTACTAATGGACTTTTGTACATTTTTATGCCACCTGTTTTCTTTAAACTTTCAAGATGTGTAACTATGATTCCCTGATATAAAATCGGTGTTAATTGTTAATCACTTCTTCAGTCTAATGGATTTTTTTCTGTACTGTCCCTTGCATCTTCCAATCAAATTGTCGTATGCATATATATATACATACATATATATATATATGCGTATGCATATCTATCTATCTATCTATCTATCTATCTATCTATCTATCTATCTATGCATACGCAGTGGCTCAGTGGCTAAGATACTGAGCTTGTCAATCAAAAGGTCGGCAGTTCAGGGGTTCGAATCCCTAGTGCCGCGTAACGGGGTGAGCTCCTGTTACTTGTCCCAGCTTCTGCCAACCTAGCAGCTTGAAAGCAGGTAAAAAATGCAAGTAGAAAAATAGGGATCACCTTTGGTGGGAAGGCAACAGCGTTCAGTGCACCTTTGGTGTTGAGTCATGCCGGCCACATGACCACAGAGATGTCTTCCAATAGCGCTGGCTCCTCGGCCTTGAAACGGAGATGAGCACCACCCCCTAGAGTCGGGAACGACTAGCACATATGTGCGAAGAGAACCTTTACCTTTAAGGATTGTATCCCCAACCATCTGGGTCCTCAGTTTACCAACCTTGGAAGGATGGAAGACTGAGTCAACCTTGAGCCGGTCAGGATCGAACTGCTGGCAGTCAGCAGAATTGCACAAATGGAGCCGCGATTCCCAAGCGGCTGGGGGTTGTGGGGGGGGCTGCTTTAGAGCTTCTGAGAACTGGGACAAGAGGAGTTTTAGTGACATCACTCACTAACATTCTCCCAATAGACAATGGGAGAATTATTATATGCATCCAGCCTGTGTTTGATAATATGAAACAAAACAAAACAAAAAAATGTTGGAAATGGAAGTGAAAATATAGCCCATTGTGTAGGAAAAGGTCCAGGGAAAGGCAGTGTCAACAAATGAGAACAATTCTCCAAGGAAAGGTTGCGCTGTTTTGGCCTTTCTCTGCTTAGAAAAGGATGATAAGAGAAAGGAACACACAATGGACTTGTACAAAATGACACAGGACCTGAAGAAAGCGGATAAGTGCAACCCTCTCCTCTCAGAACAATTGGAGTCTTCGTGAATGGCACAAGATTCAGAACAGATAAAACAGACATAGCACCTCATTAAACTTTGGACCACAGAAGGCAGGGATGCCTATCAGTTTGGAGAGCTTTAAAAGGGGCCTAGATACACGAAGAATGAAGTTTATTCGTAGAACGCAGAATCAGAGGGTTGAAAGGAATCTCAAAGGCTGTCTGGTGCACACAACCTCCCAGGCGATGTATTTAGCACTCAGCAATAGCACTTAGACTTATATACCGCTTCACAGTGTTTTACAGCCCTTTCTAAGCACTTTACAGAGTCAGCCTATGGCCCTTAAATCTGGGTCCTCATTTTACCCACCTCAGAAGGATGGAAGGCTGAGTCAATGACAATAGCAATAGCACTTAGACATATATACCACTTCACTAATCTATTAATTGTCTGTCTGTCTGCCTGCCTGCCTGCCTGCTTGGCTATCTATCTATCTATCTATCTATCTATCTATCTATCTATCTATCTATCTATCTATCTATCTATCTATCTATCAACTACCTACCTACCTACCTACCTACCTACCTACCTACCTACCAGAGGTGGGTTCTAATTTTTTTTACTACCAGTTCTGTGGGTGTGGCTTATTTTGTAGGCATGGCTTGATGGTCATGTGACAATTATTTAGGATTTAGCAGAGGTACTGATCTACCAGGATTTTAACTGCTTGCAGAGCTGTATCAGTCTACCCATTTATTTTTTGCAGGCACTGGTCTACCCATTTATTTTTGCAGGCACTGATCTACTCATGTATTTTTGCAGGCACTGGTCTACTCATTTATTTTCTTTTAACACTGATCAGCTGTAGGGCGGCCCTTTGAAGCCCCCTGGCATGAG